TTGCACCACTGTCGACGGCCCACATTCCAGACACGTCCTTGCTCGTCGAAACTCCACATTCGAACGAGACTGCAAACGCCACTCGATCGTAGCTATTGTCTTCATCATATTGTCCCCACTGGACATTATTAGCCCCGCGTCCACGACCATTGCCGCCGCGTCGGGCTCCTCGACCTTCCTTCTTCTGCTTCGTCCAACAGCGATCCACCGTGTGCCCTACCTTGCCACAATACGTGCATTGGTAAGGCTCACGCTCGGTGCTGAATGCCTTGGTTGCATCTTCAGCCTTCACCGTAGTCGCTGTTGTCGTCCCCTTTTCCCCTTGACGCTTGGCGTGCTCATTCGTCAGTACCTTCACCACATCTTGAGTGCGAAGCTCGGTGCTGCTCATTTCCATGTTGAGCACCACATTTTCGTAGCTCTTCGGAAGACTGAGTAGCAGACAAATTGCAACGTCTTCGTCTTCCATCTTCGCACCGATGCCGCTAAGCTTGGCGGAGATGTTGAGGACCTCGTTGCAGTGATGCATGACGTTCGCGCCTTCAGCCATCTTGATACTGAAAAGTTGTCGCTTGAGGTAGATGCGTCCTGCCTTCTGCGACCCACCGTACAGCGTCTTCAGACTTGTCCACGCAACCCAGGCTTCCTCGCAGTTGTCCAGCACATGATGGTAGTCCGCGTTCATGTGCAGCAGCATCATACCAAACGCGACGTTGCTTGCCTTGACGTAGTCATCGGACGCTCGCGGGTCGGTGAAAGTCGGAGTCACTTCACGGTTGACAACGTGCCAGACGGACTTCGTCAAAAACACACCGCGCATGTACCGGCTCCACGTTGCGTAATTGTCTCCGTTGAACTTGTCAATGGAGGCGTTGCTGGTGGACGACATGGCGCTTGGGCTCATAACCTGTTGCATTGTAGATCGGAGCGAGGAAAGCGGAGCAAACGGAGCGGAGAGACCGAAGAGAGTAGAGCAGAAAACACTTGCCCAATAGTTGGAAGATTCGAAAGTGATTGATTATCGGGGCTTACTACTTACTACATGATTTATATGTGGTGTACATATAAATCATGTGAAGCGTCTCATCATCCTACGCGTCTAATCAACTATGGTAATTACCGTAAGAACTACGTCGTAAATACTAAGCTGAACAGGCGGTTCGGATTGGATCGGTCACGGTTACCAATACTGGTAGAAAACCGATGACCGTCAACAATACGCCGAACACCAGAAGTCATATCGATTTGAGGAAGTGTCAACAGGAGCGATCAAGATCAGTCGCGATGCCACATTCATGGAAGACAAGTTTGATGAAGGTCCGCGCAACTACAACGATGAGTCAAGTGTCGTTGAGTTTGATGATCATGATGAGGACGAAGAAAAAGAAGTAGGTAAAACTGACGACGACATGGACTCGAGCGACGATGACAACGAAGACACCAGGTCTTCGAAGAGCAACATCAAGAGACACACGCGCACTCAATCACTTGAGAAAGCTACCGTCATTCCAAGTCCCAAGCGAAGAACATACAGAGGTCCGTCGCTTGAGCATGTGTCAGCGGCTGCAATGGATTTTGAAGCAGCCTACATCGTTGATTCAGTGGGGGAAACGCCGACTACATTCAAGTCGGCGATGGAATCAAGCGACTCCGGCAAGTGGAAAGAAGCGTGTGACTCGGAGTTCGATTCGCTTCAGAGAAACGACACGTGGGAAATCGTGCCTCTTCCGAAAGGTCGCAAGGCCATCGGGTGCCGATGGGTTTTTCGTGTAAAGGAGAATCAAGATGGCGAAGTTGAACGTTTCAAGGCAAGACTTGTGGCCAAAGGATTCTCACAGAAATTCGGAGTTGACTATGAAGAAACTTTCGCACCGGTGGCCAAGTTCACATCGATTCGTGTGGTGCTCAGTATGGCGGCTAAGTACGGCCTAATGCTACATCAGATGGACGTCAAGACAGCGTTTCTTAACGGCTCCCTCAACGAAGACATCTACATGGACCAGCCGGACGGATACCTGGATGCAACACAGCCGGACTATGTGTGCAAGCTAAAGAGATCACTCTACGGCTTGAAGCAATCGCCTCGCATGTGGAACCAAACAATCGATGGGTTCATGATCAAGATGGGATTCAAGAAGTGCGAATCGGACCACTGCATCTACATCAAGCGAGACGACCAAGACATGATTCTCGTGGTGCTCTACGTCGATGATCTCATCCTGGCCAGCAGCAACAACGAACTCCTCAAGTCAACCAAGATGGCGCTGAGCAAACGCTTCGAAATGACGGATCTCGGTGAGCTCGATTACTTTCTCGGCATGGAGATCAAGAACGACCGTAAGACGGGAATGGTGACTGTACAACAAACCAAGTTTCTCAAGTCCGTGTTAACCAAGTTCGGAATGGATAACAGCAAGCCAGTGAAGACGCCTCAAGATCCCGGCCTGAAGCTAACCAAGAACATGTGTGAACAAGAATGCAAGCACGAAGACACCATGTGCAACGTGCCATATCGAAGTGCTGTCGGAGGCATCATGTATCTCATGGTCGCCACACGTCCGGATCTAGCTGCTGCAGTGGGATCATTATCCCAGTTCTCGTCCGACCCATGCCCGACTCACTGGCAAGCTTTGAAGCGTGTGCTGAGATACCTGCAAGCAACGCCCAATCACGGTCTTGAGTTCACACGTGAAGAAGGAAGCCGTATCTGCGGGTACACCGACGCAGACTGGGCCGGCGACATTGAGTCAAGACGAAGTACAAGCGGCTATGTGTTCATGATGAGCGGAGGATGCATCAGCTGGAAAAGCCAGAAACAACGGACGGTCGCGCTATCTTCAACAGAAGCAGAATACATGGCGCTTTCCGAAGCAACCAAAGAAGCAGTATGGCTCAAAGTGCTTTTGGGGGAACTTGGTGAGATGACAAGCGACGAAGCGATCAAGATGTATGAAGACAACCAAGGATCAATCGCTCTCGCCAAGAACCCGGAGTTCCATAAGAGAACAAAACACATCGACATACGCTACCATTTTGTGCGTGAGAAGGTGGAATCAGGTGAAGTCGTTTTGGAGTATTGCCCGACTCAAGATATGCTGGCAGACATGATGACCAAGCCGATCGCCGCTGTACAATTTGAAAACATTCGCGATCGACTTGGGATCCAAGGTGCCGCAGCTAACGAGTCGAGAGGGAGTGTTGAAAAGACAGCGGCTGTGAAGAAGACACCTCGTCAAGCTGCGTCAAGTGTTGAAGCAAGTGGAAGACCAAGCTTCGCTATACCGGTGGGTACCGGTATGTACCAGTAAGGGCGAAGTCAGGAAATGACGTCACTGGATGACGTCATTGCATGACGTCAGTGGGTGACGTCAGTGGGTGACGTCACTGCGAATAATAGGCTTAGAGGTAGTATTCAAAGTTGCGAACTAAGTACCTATTATAAATATATATTCACTTTGCGTTTTGCACTCGGACCAAGAAGTCTAAAGTTCATCACTCTCCGCTCCGTTCGCTCCGCTTTCCTCGCTCCGATCTACAATGCAACAATGAGCCCAAGCACGATGTCCTCTGCTCATGATGCCACCACCAAGATCTCCATCGACAAGTTCGACGGCGACAACTACGCGACGTGGAGCCGCTACATGCGTGGCGTGTTCCTGACCAAGTCGGCGTGGCACGTGGTGAACCGGGAGACCACCCCCACCTTCGCCGATCTTCGCGCCAGTGACGACTACATCAAGACGAACAATATTGCGTTCGGCTTAATGCTGCTGCACATGAGCGCGGACTATCATCACGTGGTTGATGATTGTGAGGAAGCATGGGTTGCGTGGGCGTGGATCAAGACACTGTACGGCGGATCTCAGAAGGCTGGGCACATCTGCTTGAAGCGCCAGCTCTTCAGTATGGAGATGACAGAAGGCGGCAATGTGTTGCATCATTGCAATGAGGTCCTCAACATCAGCGCAAAGCTGGCTAGCATCGGCGCCAAGATGTAGGACGAGGACGTTGCGATCTGCTTACTGCGCAGTCTGCCCAAGAGTTTCGAGAACGTGGTTCTCAACTTGGAGATGAGCAGCGCAGAGCTTCAATCGCGGGACGTCGTGAAAGTGCTCACGAACGAGCATGTCAAGCGGCAAGGTGACAAGACGACATCGGTGAAGACTGAAGATACGGCGAAGGCGTTCAGTGCCGAGCGTGAACCTCGCCAGTGTACATACTGCGGAAAATTGGGGCATACGATGGACCGATGCTGGACCAAGCAGAAGGACGAAAATCAAGGTGGAGCTCGACGCGGCGGCAACAATGCTCGTGGACGCGGAGCCAACAACGTTCAGTGGCGAACCAACAGCAACTACGATGACAACTACGATCGAGTTGCGTTCGCGGTTTCGCTGGAGGCTGGACTTCCGACGGGCAAGAATATGCCAGGGATGTGGGCAGTCGACAGCGGTGCGACGCATCACATCTGCAACGACAAGGCCAAGTTTGCAAGCCTGAATGAGCGAGAGGAAGGCGAACTATCAGTGGCTGATGGCAGCAAGGCTGCGATCAAGGGTGTGGGAACCATCATGGAACGGGTGGTTCTGCCCAATGGTGACGAACGCGATATCGAGATCAAGGACGCACTGTTCGTACCAAGTATGAGCAAGAATCTGCTTTCGGTGCCACAGATCAACAAGGGTGGCAGGTTCCAAGTCGTGTTCGATGGATCCAAGATGCAAGTGAAGCGCAAGAATTCCACACAAGTCGTGGCAACAGCGGATCTCGTCGATGGACTTTACTGGCTGCGGACTCCTCAACGATCGGCAAATGCAGGAACACGCAATGGGACCATCGACTTGCATGCGCGCATGGGTCATGCACCCCTCGAAGTTCTGCGCAAGATGGTGGCCACTGGCATGATCAAGGACGCCAAGGCACCTCTCAACTCGACTGGTCCAAGTGTGTGTCGCGGTTGCCAGCAAGGAAAGATGGTTCAAAAACCATTCCCAACCAACCGTGACAAACGCCAATATGGTGTGTTCGAGTTGCTGCAGTTCGACATCTGCAGGCCAATGGAACAAGTCTCGATCGGCGGCAGCAGATACTTACTGCTTGTGGTTGACGAGGCCAGCGGTTGCATGAAGGGCTTCTGTCTGCGGTCCAAGTCTGAGAGTGAATACTGTATCAAGAGCCACATTATCAATATTCAAACTCAGTTCGGCACGAAGATCAAGTTTGTTCGGCACGATGGAGCGCATGAGTTTGCGACCAACTCCATCAAGACCTTCTACGAAGATCATGGTATTGAACAACAGATCACGGTGCCGTATGCACACCAGACCAACGGCACCGCAGAACGCGCGATAAGGACCATCGTCACGATCGGACGCAGCTTGTTGCATCATGCAAAGCTGGAGAAGTGTTTCTGGGCTGAAGCGGCAATGACGGCGATCTACATCAAGAACCGCCTGTCTTCACCCAAGATCGACCACAAGACTCCGTTCGAGATCGTGTACAAGTCGAAACCAAGTGTCAAGCACATGCGCGTGTTTGGATGTCGGGCGTTTATCCTGACACCAAGGGAGAAGCGATTGAAGTGGGACCCGAAGGCTCGTGAAGGGATGTTCATGGGCTACGAAGAAGCGTCAAAAGCTTATCGAGTGTACGACATTGAGGCGGGCCAAGTGGTGATCAGTCGTGACATCACCTTCGACGAATCGACTTTTGACTTTTCGATGGACCGACCAAGTGACGATGATGAAGATGCGGAGTTGGACCTCGACCTCCTGGCGATCAACGAGGACGACGTGCGTCAAACCGTCTACAAGCAGACTGGCAAGCGCAAGAGTGAAGCAAGACCCGGCATGTCACGTTCAGCTCGCCCTCGAACTGGGTTGGAACAAGCAAGTGCGCCGGAATACGTCTCCAACCGTCACCAGAAACGACGATCAAGTGCTCCAGAAACGATGTCTGATGACGAAGAAGATGCAAGCGTCTACAATCAAGATGACGACTCGACGCCTCCAACATTTTGGCGTGCAAGTGCAAACGCAGTGGAAGCAACGGACCTAGCAGAACCTGTGACTTTTCAAGACGCGATCAATGGTCCTGATCAAGCTCACTGGCGAAATGCTGTGAAGGCGGAACTCAAGTCGATGCACCTTCGAGGAGTTTCCGTGCGGCAAAACTGCCAAGAGGCCAAGGCGCGATCGGCACCAAGTGGGTGTTCAAGATCAAGCGCAAAGCGGATGGATCGGTCGAGAAATACAAGGCGCGTCTCGTTGCCAAGGGCTTCAAGCAGAAGTACGGCATCGACTACACAGAGACGTTCTCGCCCGTGGTCAAGTACGTGACACTGCGTATGGTGATCGCGATCACCAAGTATTTCGACTGGCCACTGGACCAACTCGATGTGGTGACAGCCTTTCTCTACGGAGTGATGAAGGAGAAGGTGTACTGCGTGATACCAGAAGGCGTCGAGATGGATGGCGACTTCGACTGTCTCGAGTTGGTGAAGGCGATCTACGGTCTCAAGCAAGCTTCACGTGTGTGGAACGAGACTTTCGACGAGTTTGTATGCTCTATCGGTTTCGAGGCGTCGGCGTTCGACCCATGTCTCTACATCAAGGTTGTCGACGGTCACTGTGTGCTCGTGCTGGTCTACGTGGATGACGTGTTGGTCACCGGCAGCTCGCTCGAGTTGATTGCGCAGACGAAGGCCGACCTCAAGACGCGTTTCGAGATGACCGACAGTGGCAAGTGTACTTTTGTACTGAGCATCGAACTGGTGGATGAATCGGATGGCAGCGTGACGATGTGCCAACGACGGTATGTCAACGACATCCTCAAGCGCTTCGGCATGGATGAGTGCAAGGCCACAGCAAGTCCGGTCGACTTGAGCACTCGGCTTGTCGCAAGCACCGAAGCGGCCAAGATCGACGTTCCGTTTCGTGAAGCTGTGGGAGCTTTGATGCACTTGACGACTGCGACGCGCCCGGACATTGCGTATGCTGTGGGGTACGTCTCGCGCTTCATGGAGAATCCGCAGCAAGAACATTGGACGGCGGTGAAGCGCATCTTTCGTTACTTGCAAGGGACCAAGTCGCACGGACTCCGCTTCCAGCCAAGCGACAAGATTGACTTTCGTGGCTACTCGGACGCGGACTGGGCCGGCGACCACGCTGATCGCAAGTCGACTTCGGGTTACACTTTCATGCTGATGGATGCTCCTGTGAGTTGGGGAAGCAAGAAGCAGTCAAGTGTGTCGCTGTCGACGAGTGAAGCGGAATACATCGCACTGAGTCTGGCCATCCAGGAAGGCAAGTGGGTGCATCGCCTGCTATGCGAGATTTTGGCGGCCGCAAACGAACCAGGACCGGACCTCGTCATCCGTGAAGACAACCAGTCGTGCATCAAGATGACGAAGAATCCGGTGAATCATGGCCGCGCCAAGCACATCGACATCAAGTACCATCACATCCGTGATGAGGTCAAGCGCGGTGAAGTGAAGCTCGAGTATTGCGAGACTTCCGTGATGATGGCGGACATCATGACCAAGGGACTTTCGGGACCTCGTCACAAGGACTTGACGACGGCTCTCGGCATTCGTGCGAGTTCGGATTGAGGGGGCGTGTTGACGGTCATCGGTTTCTACCAGTATTGGTAACCGTGACCGGTCCAATCCGAACCGCCTGTTCAGCCTAGTATTTACGACGTAGTTCTTACGGTAATTACCATAGTTGATTAGACGCGTAGGATGATGAGACGCTTCACATGATTTATATGTGCACCACATATAAATCATGTAGTAAGTAGTAAGTCCCGATAATCAATCACTTTCCAATCTTCCATCTACCCCCCAAGTGTTTTCTCCGGTCTTCCGAGTAGACTCCCAGCATCACTCCCAGTTTCGGTCGTCAAGCTTTTCACCAATCAACGGGTTGATGTTGCTCCACATGGACGCCGACTACCACCATGTGGTCAACAACTGTGAAGAAGCATGGACAGCGTGGTCGCGGTTGAAGATGCTCTATGGTGGGTCGCAGAAGGCGGGACGGATCTACCTCAAGCGCCAGCTGTTCAGCATCAAGATGGCGGAAGGTGCCAACGTCTTGCACCATTGCAACGAAGTCTTGAACATCGGCGCCAAGCTCAGCAGCATCGGTGCCAAGATGGAAGACGAAGACATTGCGATCTGCTTGCTGCTCATTCTCCCGAAGAGTTTCGAGAACGTGGTTCTGAACTTGGAGATGAGCAATGCAGAGCTGCGCACGCAAGATGTGGTCAAGGTGCTGACTAACGAGCACATCAAGCGACAAGGCGAGAAGATGACAACGGTGAAGACTGAAGATGCGACAAAGGCATTCAGTACCGAGCGCAAGCCCTACCAATGCACATACTGCGGCAAGGTGGGGCACACGGCAGAGCGTTGCTGGACGAAGCAAAAGGATGAAAGTCGAGGAGCCCAACGCGGCGGCAATGGTCGTGGACGCGGGGCAAACAATGTCCAGTGGCGACATTATGATGAAGGCAACAGCTACGATCGAGTGGCGTTTGCAGTTTCGTTCGAATGCGGAGTTTCGACGAACAAGAATGGACCAGGAATGTGGGCCGTTGACAGCGGGGCAACACATCACATCTGCCACGACAAGTTCAAGTTTGCAAGCTTGGTCGAAGGCAATGATGGCGAGATCCTGGTGGCTGATGGCAACAAGGCAGCCATCAAAGGTGTGGGGACCATCGTGGAAAAGGTGATTCTGCCAAACGGGGAAGAGCGCGAGATCGAGATCAAGAACGCGCTCTATGTGCCCAGCATGAGCAAAAATCTGCTCTCGGTGCCGCAGATTAACAAACACGGCAACTTCCAAGTGGTGTTTGACGGGGATACGATGTACGTCGCTCGCAAGGATTCCAATCAAGTGGTGGCAGCTGCGGATCTTGTAGACGGACTCTACTGGCTTCGCACGACGCAGCGATCGGCCAATGCGACATCACTCAGCAACGCTGTTGATCTACATGCGCGAATGGGCCATGCTCCAGTCGACGTACTTCGCAGGATGGTGACAAGACACATGATCAAGGACGCTCACATCCCTTCCAAGCCGAATGGATCAAGGTGTGTCGAGGATGCCAAGAAGGGAAGATGGTCCAAAAACCATTCCCGAGCAACCGTGACAAGCGCACCTACAACACCTTCGAGATGCTCCACTTCGACATCTGCGGACCCATGGAAGAAAAATCTCTGGGTGGCAGCAAGTATCTGCTGCTGATCGTGGATGAAGCCAGCGGATGCATGAAGGGTTTTTGTCTGCATTCCAAGTCAGAGAGCGAAGAGTGCATCAAGAAGTACATCACGATGATACAGACGCAGTTCAACAAGAAAGTCAAATTTGTGCGACACGATGGAGCCCGCGAGTTTGCGACGAACTCGCTTCAAGATTTCTACGAAGTCGAAGGCATCGAGCAACAAACCACGGTGCCATACGCACATCAAGCCAATGGAACTGCTGAACGCGCGATTCGAACTATCGTCACCATCGGTCGTAGCATGCTCCATCATGCCAAGTTGGACAAGTGCTTCTGGGCTGAAGCGGCAATGACGGCCGTCTATGTGAAGAACCGTTTGCCGTCACCCAAGATTCCACACAAGACACCGTTCGAGATTGTCTACAATTCTAAGCCAAGTGTCAAGCACATGCGCGTTTTTGGGTGCCAAGCATACATCTTGACCCCGAAGGAGAAACGACTCAAGTGGGATCCCAAGGCCCGGGCTGGATTGTTTTTGGGCTACGAAGAAGTGTCCAAGGCGTATCGAGTTTATGACATCGAAGCGGGGCAGGTGATGATAAGTCGCGATGTCAACTTCGATGAGTCGGCCTTTGGAATGTCGATGCTGATTTCCGATGACGATGTTGATGGCCTGGACTTCGAATCGATCGATCTTGATGATGAAGAACCGCGTCCGAGACACTTCAAACAAACAGGAAAGCGCAAGGCCCAACCCAGTCACGACAATGACGACGCAAGCATGCCCCGAGCAGTGCGCCAACGACCCGGATTGGAAGAGTCAAGTGCGCCGGATGACATCTCTTCACGTCGAGCCAACGAAGATGAAGAAAGGAAGTCGGAGGAACAACATGACACACCGACTTCCTCCGCGTTTTGGCATGCGAGTGCAAACGCCGTCGAAGCAGCGGTCGATTTTTCGGAGCCGTCGACATTTGAAGAAGCAGTGTCTGGCCCGGACCAAGTACACTGGCGCAAGGCAATTGATGCGGAGCTCGATTCGATGAAGCTTCGCGGTGTCTTTCGTGCGGCCAAGTTACCCAACGGACAAAGCGCCATTGGCACAAAGTGGGTCTTCAAGATCAAGCGCAAGGCGGATGGGTCGATCGAGAAATACAAGGCACGACTTGTGGCCAAGGGTTTTCGCCAAAAGTATGGCATCGACTACACGGAGACGTTCTCGCCCGTGGTCAAGTATGTGACGCTGCGAATGGTGATCGCAATTTCCAAGCACTTTGGATGGCCCCTCGACCAGCTCGATGTGGTGACTGCGTTCCTGTATGGAGTGATGAAGGAGAAGGTGTTCTGCGCTGTTCCGGAAGGCGTCAAGATGGAAGGTGATTTTGACTGTCTCGAGCTGATCAAGGCGATCTACGGTCTCAAGCAAGCCTCGCGTGTTTGGAACGAGACCTTCGACGAGTTCATACGCTCGATTGGTTTTCAAGCGTCGGGATTCGATCCATGTCTCTACATCATGACTTCGGAAGGCCATTGTGTTTTTGTGCTGGTCTACGTGAACGATGTCTTGGTGACTGGAAGCTCGCTCGAGATGATTGCGCGCACCAAGAACGACCTCAAGACACGCTTCGAGATGACGGACAGCGGCAAGTGTGCCTTTGTTCTTGGGATCGAGTTATTGGACGGTGAAGATGGCAGCGTGACTATGTGTCAGCGCCGTTATGTCGACGATGTCCTCAAGCGCTTTGGAATGGATGAGTGCAAGGCTGTGGCAAGTCCGGTGGACGTCAGCTCTCGACTGGTTCCGAGCAACTCTGCAAGCAAGGTGGATGTCCCATTCCGTGAAGCAGTGGGTGCTTTGATGCATCTGACGACTGCAACGCGACCGGACATCGCCTATGCTGTAAGCTTTGTGTCACGGTTCATGGAGAAACCCCAAGAAGAACACTGGGTTGCAGTCAAGCGCATCTTCCGCTACCTACAAGGCACCAAGATGCATGGAATCTGCTACAAGCCAAGTGCGAAGATCGACTTTCGTGGCTATTCAGATGCAGACTGGGCCGGTGACCTTGCTGATCGCAAATCGACGTCCGGCTACGTCTTCATGCTATTGGGTGCTCCGGTGAGTCGGGGCAGCAAGAAACAGCCAAGTGTGTCACTGTCTACAAGCGAAGCGGAGTACATCGCGCTCAGCCTGGCGATCCAAGAAGGCAAGTGGATCAATCGCTTGCTGTGCGAGATCATGGCGGCTGCAAACGAAGAAGGACCCGAGCTCGTCATCCGTGAAGACAACCAGTCGTGCATCAAGATGACGAAGAATCCGGTCAACCACGGCCGCGCTAAACACATCGACATCAAGTACCATCACATCCGTGATGAAGTCAAGCGCGGCGAAGTGAAGCTTGAATACTGCGAGACAACGTTGATGTTGGCGGACATCATGACGAAGGGACTTCACGGACCGCGTCACAAGGAGCTGACAGAGGCGCTTGGCATCCGCACGTGTTCGTATTGAGGGGGCGTATTGAGGGTTACCGGTACAATCCGAACCTAGCGCGTAGTTCTTACGAGATAGTTTTTACATCGGTAATTACCTCAGAGATGATTAGACGCGTAGGATGATTGGACGCGTGTAAATCAGGTTGATTAGATGCACCATGTGATTGGATGCAGTCTAGGATAGGCAGAAGTTAAGACCTATAAATCAATCACTTTCGAATCCTCCCTCAAGTGAGCAAGTGTTCTCTGCTTCGTTCTCTCCGGTCTCTCCGCTTCGTTTTCTCTTCGCCTCGCGCTCAAGTTACAACAACGACGTAGTTCTTACGGTAATTACCATAGTTGATTAGACGCGTAGGATGATGAGACGCTTCACATGATTTATATGTACACCACATATAAATCATGTAGTAAGTAGTAAGTCCCGATAATCAATCACTTTCGAATCTTCCAACTATTAAGCAAGTGTTTTCTGCTCTACTCTCTTCGGTCTCTCCGCTCCGTTCGCTCCGCTTTCCTCGCTCCGATCTACAATGCAACACTTGATCGTCGTTTCTGGTGACGGTTGGAGACGTGTTCCGGCGCACTTGCTTGTTCCAACCCAGTTCGAGGGCGAGCTGAACGTGACATGCCGGGTCTTGCTTCACTCTTGCGCTTGTCAGTCTGCTTGTAGACGGTTTGACGCACGTCGTCCTCGTTGATCGCCAGGAGGTCGAGGTCCAACTCCGCATCTTCATCATCGTCACTTGGTCGGTCCATCGAAAAGTCAAAAGTCGATTCGTCGAAGGTGATGTCACGACTGATCACCACTTGGTCCGCCTCAATGTCGTACACTCGATAAGCTTTTGACGCTTCTTCGTAGCCCATGAACATCCCTTCACGAGACTTCGGGTCCCACTTCAATCGCTTCTCCCTTGGTGTCAGGATAAACGCCCGACATCCAAACACGCGCATGTGCTTGACACTTGGTTTCGACTTGTACACGATCTCGAACGGAGTCTTGTGGTCGATCTTGGGTGAAGACAGGCGGTTCTTGATGTAGATCGCCGTCATTGCCGCTTCAGCCCAGAAACACTTCTCCAGCTTTGCATGATGCAACAAGCTGCGTCCGATCGTGACGATGGTCCTTATCGCGCGTTCTGCGGTGCCGTTGGTCTGGTGTGCATACGGCACCGTGACCTGTTGTTCGATACCATGATTTTCGTAGAAGGTCTTGATGGAGTTGGTCGCAAACTTATGCGCTCCATCGTGCCGAAAAAACTTGATCTTCGTGCCGAACTGAGTTTGAATCTTGATGATGTGGTTCTTGATACAGTCTTCACTCTCAGACTTGGACCGCATACAGAAGCCCTTCATGCAACCGCTGGCTTCGTCAACCACAAGCAGTAAGTATCTGCTGCCGCCGATCGAGACTTGTTCCATTGGCCCGCAGATGTCGAAGTGCAGCAACTCGAACACACCATATTGGCGTTTGTCACGGTTGGTTGGGAATGGTTTTTGGACCATCTTTCCTTGCTGGCAACCGCGACACACACTTGGACCATTCGAGTTGAGAGGTGCCTTGGCGTCCTTGATCATGCCAGTGGCCACCATCTTGCGCAGAACTTCGAGGGGTGCATGACCCATGCGCGCATGCAAGTCGATGGTCCCATCGCGTGTTGCTGCATTTGCCGATCGTTGAGGAGTCCACAGCCAGTAAAGTCCATCGACGAGATCCGCTGTTGCCACGACTTGTGTGGAATTCTTGCGCTTCACTTGCATCTTGGATCCATCGAACACGACTTGGAACCTGCCACCCTTGTTGATCTGTGGCACCGAAAGCAGATTCTTGCTCATACTTGGTACGAACAGTGCGTCCTTGATCTCGATGTCGCGTTCGTCACCATTGGGCAGAACCACCCGTTCCATGATGGTTCCCACACCCTTGATCGCAGCCTTGCTGCCATCAGCCACTGATAGTTCGCCTTCCTCTCGCTCATTCAGGCTTGCAAACTTGGCTTTGTCGTTGCAGATGTGATGCGTCGCACCGCTGTCGACTGCCCACATCCCTGGCATATTCTTGCCCGTCGGAAGTCCAGCCTCCAGCGAAACCGCGAACGCAACTCGATCGTAGTTGTCGTCGTTGTTGTTGTTGGTTCGCCACTGAACGTTGTTGGCTCCGCCTCCACGAGCATTGTTGCCGCCGCGTCGAGCTCTACCTTGATTTTCGTCCTTCTGCTTGGTCCAGCACCGCTCTGCCGTGTGCCCCAATTTTCCGCAGTACGTGCAATGGTGCGGTTCACGCTCGGTACTGAACGCCTTGGCCGCGTCTTCAGTCTTCACCGATGTCGTCTTGTCACCTTGCCGCTTGACATGCTCGTTCGTGAGCACTTTCACGACGTCCCGCGATTGAAGCTCTGCGCTGCTCATCTCCAAGTTGAGAACCACGTTCTCGAAACTCTTGGGCAGACTGCGCAGTAAGCAGATCGCAACGTCCTCGTCCTACATCTTGGCGCCGATGCTAGCCAGCTTTGCGCTGATGTTGAGGACCTCATTGCAATGATGCAACACATTGCCGCCTTTTGTCATCTCCATACTGAAGAGCTGGCGCTTCAAGCAGATGTGCCCAGCCTTCTGAGATCCGCCGTACAGTGTCTTCAAACGCGCCCACGCGACCCACGCCTCTTCACAGTCATCAACCACGTGATGATAATCCGCGCTCATGTGCAGCAGCATCAAGCCGGACGCAATGTTGTTCGTCTTGACGTAGTCGTCACTGGCGCGAGGATCGGCGAAGGTCGGCGACGTCTCGCGGTTGACGACGTGCCACGCCAACTTGGTCAGGAACACGCCACGCATGTAGCGGCTCCACGTCGCGTAGTTGTCGCCGTCGAACTTGTCAATGGAGATCTTGGTGGTGGCATCATGAGCAGAGGACATCGTGCTTGGGCTCATAACCTGTTGATTGGTGAAAGGCTTGACGACCGAAACTGGGAGTGATGCTGGGAGTCCACTCGGAAGACCGGAGAAGACACTTGGGGGGTAGATGGAAGATTGGAAAGTGATTGATTATCGGGGCTTACTACTTACTACATGACTTATTTGTGGTGCACATTTTTCCATTGTAGATCGGAGCGAGGAAAGCGGAGCGAACGGAGCGGAGAGACCGAAGAGAGTAGAGCAGAAAACACTTGCCCAATAGTTGGAAGATTCGAAAGTGATTGATTATCGGGACTTACTACTTACTACATGATTTATATGTGGTGTACATATAAATCATGTGAAGCGTCTCATCATCCTACGCGTCTAATCAACTATGGTAATTACCGTAAGAACTATTGAGGGTTACCGGTACAATCCGAACCTAGCGCGTAGTTCTTACGAGATAGTTTTTACATCGGTAATTACCTCAGAGATGATTAGACGCGTAGGATGATTGGACGCGTGTAAATCAGGTTGATTAGATGCACCATGTGATTGGATGCAGTCTAGGGTAGGCAGAAGTTAAGACCTATAAATCAATCACTTTCGAATCCTCCCTCAAGTGAGCAAGTGTTCTCTGCTTCGTTCTCTCCGGTCTCTCCGCTTCGTTTTCTCTTCGCCTCGCGCTCAATCAACAACAGGTTATGAGCCCAAGCGCCATGTCGTCCAACAACACCTCGGCCAGTGTCTCCATCGATAAGTTCGATGGGGACAACTACTCAACCTGGTGTCGCTACATGCGCGGCGTGTTTCTGACGAAGTCAGTCTGGTACGTCGTGAACCGCGAAACGTCTCCAACCTTCACCGACACGCGAGCTTCCGACGAGTACGTCAAGGCGAGCAACATCGCGTTCGGGTTGATGTTGCTCCACATGGACGCCGACTACCACCATGTGGTCGACAACTGTGAAGAAGCATGGACAGCGTGGTCGCGGTTGAAGATGCTCTATGGTGGGTCGCAGAAGGCGGGACGGATCTACCTCAAGCGCCAGCTGTTCAGCATCAAGATGGCGGAAGGTGCCAACGTCTTGCACCATTGCAACGAAGTCTTGAACATCGGCGCCAAGCTCAGCAGCATCGGTGCCAAGATGGAAGACGAAGACATTGCGATCTGCTTGCTGCTCATTCTCCCGAAGAGTTTCGAGAACGTGGTTCTGAACTTGGAGATGAGCAATGCAGAGCTGCGCACGCAAGATGTGGTCAAGGTGCTGACTAACGAGCACATCAAGCGACAAGGCGAGAAGATGACAACGGCAACGACAACGGTGAAGACTGAAGATGCGACAAAGGCATTCAGTACCGAGCGCAAGCCCTACCAATGCACATACTGCGGCAAGGTGGGGCACACGGCAGAGCGTTGCTGGACGAAGCAAAAGGATGAAAGTCGAGGAGCCCAACGCGGCGGCAATGGTCGTGGACGAGGGGCAAACAATGTCCAGTGGCGACATTATGATGAAGGCTACAGCTACGATCGAGTGGCGTTTGCAGTTTCGTTCGAATGCGGAGTTTCGACGAACAAGAATGGACCAGGAATGTGGGCCGTTGACAGCGGGGCAACACATCACATCTGCCACGACAAGTTCAAGTTTGCAAGCTTGGTCGAAGGCAATGATGGCGAGATCCTGGTGGCTGATGGCAACAAGGCAGCCATCAAAGGTGTGGGGACCATCGTGGAAAAGGTGATTCTGCCAAACGGGGAAGAGCGCGAGATCGAGATCAAGAACGCGCTCTATGTGCCCAGCATGAGCAAAAATCTGCTCTCGGTGCCGCAGATTAACAAGCACGGCAACTTCCAAGTGGTGTTTGACGGGGATACGATGTACGTCGCTCGCAAGGATTCCAATCAAGTGGTGGCAGCTGCGGATCTTGTAGACGGACTCTACTGGCTTCGCACGACGCAGCGATCGGCCAATGCGACATCACTCAGCAACGCTGTTGATCTACATGCGCGAATGGGCCATGCTCCAGTCGACGTACTTCGCAGGATGGTGACAAGCCACATGATCAAGGACGCTCACATCCCTTCCAAGCCGAATGGATCAAGTGTGTGTCGAGGATGCCAAGAAGGGAAGATGGTCCAAAAACCATTCCCGAGCAACCGTGACAAGCGCACCTACAACACCTTCGAGATGCTCCACTTCGACATCTGCGGACCCATGGAAGAAAAATCTCTGGGTGGCAGCAAGTATCTGCTGCTGATCGTGGATGAAGCCAGCGGATGCATGAAGGGTTTTTGTCTGCATTCCAAGTCAGAGAGCGAAGAGTGCATCAAGAAGTACATCACGATGATACAGACGCAGTTCAACAAGAAAGTCAAATTTGTGCAACACGATGGAGCCCGCGAGTTTGCGACAAACTCGCTTCAAGATTTCTACGAAGTCGAAGGCATCGAGCAACAAACCACGGTGCCATACGCACATCAAGCCAATGGAACTGCTGAACGCGCGATTCGAACTATCGTCACCATCGGTCGTAGCATGCTCCATCATGCCAAGTTGGACAAGTGCTTCTGGGCTGAAGCGGCAATGACGGCCGTCTATGTGAAGAACCGTTTGCCGTCACCCAAGATTCCACACAAGACACCGTTCGAGATTGTCTACAATTCTGAGCCAAGTGTCAAGCACATGCGCGTTTTTGGGTGCCAAGCATACATCTTGACCCCGAAGGAGAAACGACTCAAGTGGGATCCCAAGGCCCGGGCTGGATTGTTTTTGGGCTACGAAGAAGTGTCCAAGGCGTATCGAGTTTATGACATCGAAGCGGGGCAGGTGATGATAAGTCGCGATGTCAACTTCGATGAGTCGGCCTTTGGAATGTCGATGCTGATTTCCGATGACGATGTTGATGGCCTGGACTTCGAATCGATCGATCTTGATGATGAAGAACCGCGTCCGAGACACTTCAAACAAACAGGAAAGCGCAAGGCCCAACCCAGTCACGACAATGACGACGCAAGCATGCCCCGAGCAGTGCGCCAACGACCCGGATTGGAAGAGTCAAGTGCGCCGGATGACATCTCTTCACGTCGAGCCAACGAAGATGAAGAAAGGAAGTCGGAGGAACAACATGACACACCGACTTCCTCCGCGTTTTGGCATGCGAGTGCAAACGCCGTCGAAGCAGCGGTCGATTTTTCGGAGCCGTCGACATTTGAAGAAGCAGTGTCTGGCCCGGACCAAGTACACTGGCGCAAGGCAATTGATGCGGAGCTCGATTCGATGAAGCTTCGCGGTGTCTTTCGTGCGGCCAAGTTACCCAACGGACAAAGCGCCATTGGCACAAAGTGGGTCTTCAAGATCAAGCGCAAGGCGGATGGGTCGATCGAGAAATACAAGGCACGACTTGTGGCCAAGGGTTTTCGCCAAAAGTATGGCATCGACTACACGGAGACGTTCTCGCCCGTGGTCAAGTATGTGACGCTGCGAATGGTCATCGCCATTACCAAGCACTTTGGATGGCCCCTCGACCAGCTCGATGTGGTGACTGCGTTCCTGTATGGAGTGATGAAGGAGAAGGTGTTCTGCGCTGTTCCGGAAGGCGTCAAGATGGAAGGTGATTTTGACTGTCTCGAGCTGATCAAGGCGATCTACGGTCTCAAGCAAGCCTCGCGTGTTTGGAACGAGACCTTCGACGAGTTCATACGCTCGATTGGTTTTCAAGCGTCGGGATTCGATCCATGTCTCTACATCATGACTTCGGAAGGCCATTGTGTTTTTGTGCTGGTCTACGTGGACGATGTCTTGGTGACTGGAAGCTCGCTCGAGATGATTGCGCGCACCAAGAACGACCTCAAGACACGCTTCGAGATGACGGACAGCGGCAAGTGTGCCTTTGTTCTTGGGATCGAGTTATTGGACAGTGAAGATGGCAGCGTGACTATGTGTCAGCGCCGTTATGTCGACGATGTCCTCAAGCGCTTTGGAATGGATGAGTGCAAGGCTGTGGCAAGTCCGGTGGACGTCAGCTCTCGACTGGTTCCGAGCAACTCTGCAAGCAAGGTGGATGTCCCATTCCGTGAAGCAGTGGGTGCTTTGATGCATCTGACGACTGCAACGCGACCGGACATCGCCTATGCTGTAAGCTTTGTGTCACGGTTCATGGAGAAACCCCAAGAAGAACACTGGGTTGCAGTCAAGCGCATCTTCCGCTACCTACAAGGCACCAAGATGCATGGAATCTGCTACAAGCCAAGTGCGAAGATCGACTTTCGTGGCTATTCAGATGCAGACTGGGCCGGTGACCTTGCTGATCGCAAATCGACGTCCGGCTACGTCTTCATGCTATTGGGTGCTCCGGTGAGTTGGGGCAGCAAGAAACAGCCAAGTGTGTCACTGTCTACAAGCGAAGCGGAGTACATCGCGCTCAGCCTGGCGATCCAAGAAGGCAAGTGGATCAATCGCTTGCTGTGCGAGATCATGACGGCTGCAAACGAAGAAGGACCCGAGCTCGTCATCCGTGAAGACAACCAGTCGTGCATCAAGATGACGAAGAATCCGGTCAACCACGGCCGCGCTAAACACATCGACATCAAGTACCATCACATCCGTGATGAAGTCAAGCGCGGCGAAGTGAAGCTTGAATAATGCGAGACGACGTTGATGTTGGCGGACATCATGACGAAGGGACTTCACGGACCGCGTCACAAGGACTTGACGGCGGCGCTTGGCATCCGTGCGTGTTCGGATTGAGGGGGCGTATTGAGGGTTACCGGTACAATCCGAACCTAGCGCGTAGTTCTTACGAGATAGTTTTTACATCGGTAATTACCTCAGAGATGATTAGACGCGTAGGATGATTGGACGCGTGTAAATCAGGTTGATTAGATGCACCATGTGATTGGATGCAGTCTAGGGTAGGCAGAAGTTAAGACCTATAAATCAATCACTTTCGAATCCTCCCTCAAGTGAGCAAGTGTTCTCTGCTTCGTTCTCTCCGGTCTCTCCGCTTCGTTTTCTCTTCGCCTCGCGCTCAATCAACAACAAGAACTACGTCGTAAATACTAAGCTGAACAGGCGGTTCGGATTGGATCGGTCACGTTTACCAATACTGGTAGGAAACCGATGACCGTCAACACGCCCCCTCAATCCGAATACTCACGAATCCCGAGAGCCGTCGTCATCTCCTTGTGGCGTGGTCCATGAAGTCCCTTCGTCATGATATCCGCTAACATCACCGCAGTTTCACAATACTTGAGCTTCACTTCACCGCGCTTGACCTCATCACGGATGTGATGGTACTTGATATCAATGTGCTTGGCACGGCCGTGGTTGACCGGGTTCTTCGTCATCTTGATACATGACTGATTGTCTTCATGAATCATGAGTTCCGGTCCTTCTTCATTGGCAGCCATCACGATCTCACAAAGCAGACGATGAATCCACTTGCCCTCTTGAATCGCCAAGCTGAGTGCGATGTATTCAGCTTCAGTCGTGGACAACGAAACACTTGGCTGCTTCTTGCTGCCCCAACTCACTGGCGCACCGAGTAGCATGAACGTGTACCCCGATGTTGACTTGCGGTCGGTAAGGTCACCAGCCCAATCCGCATCCGAATATCCACGGAAGTCGATCCTTGCACTTGGCTTGTAGCAAATTCCATGCGTCTTGGTGCCTTGTAGGTAGCGAAAGATACGCTTAACTGCAACCCAGTGTTCTTCTTGGGGATTTTCCATGAACCGCGACACATAGCCCACACCAAACGCAATGTCCGGACGCGTTGCAGTGGCCAGGTGCATCAACGCACCAACAGCTTCGCGAAAAGGAGCATCGACCTTGGTAGTTGCATCACTTGAAACAAGTCGAGAGCTCATGTCGACTGGACTTGCGACTGCCTTGCAATCATCCATGCCAAAGCGCTTGAGGATATCATCGACATACCGACGCTGACATAGTGTCACACTGCCATCTTCACCGTCCAAAAGCTCGATCCCAAGAACAAACGCACACTTGCCGCTGTCCGTCATTTCGAACCGCGTCTTCAGGTCGTGCTTGGTTTGTGCAACCAGCTCGAGCGAGCTTCCAGTCACCAAGACGTCGTCCACGTAGACCAGTATAAACACGCAATGGCCGTCCGATGTCGTGATGTAGAGACATGGGTCGAAGCCTGACACTTGAAATCCAATGGAACACACACTCGCCAAAAGTCTTGTTCCATACTCGCAAAGCTTGCTTCAGGCCGTAAATTGCCTTTACCAATTCCAGGCAGTCGAACGTACTGTCAAGTTCGAAGCCTTCAGGAATCACGCAGAACACTTGTTCCTTCATGACGCCATACAGGAAAGCTGTCACCACATCAAGCTGGTCGATGGGCCATCCAAAATGCTTGGAAATTGCGATCACCATTCGCAGCGTCACATACTTGACCACAGGCGAAAACGTCTCCGTGTAGTCGATGCCATGCTTTTGGCGGAAACCCTTGGCCACAAGTCGTGCCTTGTACTTCTCGATTGACCCATCCGCCTTGCGCTTGATCTTGAACACCCATTTTGTGCCCATGGCGCGTTGTCCGTTGGGCAGCTTGGCTGCACGAAACACACCGCGAAGTCGCATTGACTCGATCTCTGCATGAATTGCTTTTCTCCAGTGCACTTGGTCAGGGCCGCTTACTGCTGCTTCAAATGTTGAGGGCTCTGATAAGTCCACTGCTGCTTCAACGGCATTTGCACTCGCACGCCAAAACACAGGCGGTATTGAATCACCAGAATCCTTCGTTTCATTGTCTTCTTCTTGGTGTGACGAGTTGTTTTCCGGCGCGCTTGACTCTTCAAGTCCTGGTCGTTGACGCACTGCACGCGGTCGTGGAGCTGCTGTATCTTCATCATTGAGTCGGTTCTTGCGCTTGCCTGTTTGCTTGTACTCCATTTGACGCAGCTCTTCGTCATCAAGATCCAGCAATTCGAAGTCCAGGTCATCGACATCTTCATCAGTGATCGGCAGTTGAAGTCCAAAGGTGGACTCGTCGAAGTTGACATCGCGGCTGATAACCACCTGCCCAGCCTCGATGTCATAAACACGATACGCCTTCGAAACTTCTTCGTAGCCCACGAATATGCCAGCGCAAGCCTTTGGATCCCACTTGAGTCGATTCTCTTTAGGCGTCAGTATGTACGTCTGACATCCGAATGTTCGCATGTGCTTGACGCTTGGTTTCAAGTTGTAGACGATCTTGTTGTAAGTGCATGATGCACTGGATTCGACTCCAGAGATTCGACCCATGATAGGGTATGTCTAGAATGTTCTTTAGGGTTATATGCATTATTATAGGTCGTACGGCAGCTAGACGTATGGATAGTTCTCACTTGTAGATTGACAAACCACTGATAAGGCCCCCGGCGGGGGGCCGAAACGCGTCTGGTGCGCGGTAATATACAAGTCATTTACTTTACTTAACTCCTACTTCTTACAGGTTATGAGCCCAAGCACGATGTCCTCTGCTCATGATGCCACCACCAAGATCTTTATTGACAAGTTCGACGGCGACAACTACGCGACGTGGAGCCGCTACATGCGTGGCGTGTTCCTGACCAAGTCGGCGTGGCACGTGGTGAACCGGAGACCACCCCCACCTTCGCCGATCCTCGCGCCAGTGACGACTACTGTTGCATTGTAGATCGGAGCGAGGAAAGCGGAGCGAACGGAGCGGAGAGACCGAAGAGAGTAGAGCAGAAAACACTTGCCCAATAGTTGGAAGATTCGAAAGTGATTGATTATCGGGACTTACTACTTACTACATGATTTATATGTGGTGTACATATAAATCATGTGAAGCGTCTCATCATCCTACGCGTCTAATCAACTATGGTAATTACCGTAAGAACTACGTCGTAAATACTAGGCTGAACAGGCGGTTCGGATTGGATCGGTCACGGTTACCAACACTGGTAGAAAACCGATGACCGTCAATACGCCCCCTCAATCCGAATGCTCACGAATCCCGAGAGCCGTCGTCATCTCCTTGTGGCGTGGTACATGAAGTCCCTTCGTCATGATGTCCGCTAACATCACCGCAGTTTCACAATACTTGAGCACTTCACTTCACCGTGCTTGACCTCATCACGGATGTGATGGTACTTGATATCAATGTGCTTGGCACGGCCGTGGTTGACCGGGTTCTTCGTCATCTTGATACATGACTGATTGTCTTCATGAATCATGAGTTCCGGTCCTTCTTCATTGGCAGCTATCACGATCTCACAAAGCAGACGATGAATCCACTTGCCCTCTTGAATCGCCAAGCTGAGTGCGATGTATTCAGCTTCAGTCGTGGACAACGAAACACTTGGCTGCTTCTTGCTGCCCCAACTTACTGGCGCACCGAGTAGCATGAACGTGTACCCCGATGTTGACTTGCGGTCGGTAAGATCACCAGCCCAATCCGCATCCGAATATCCACGGAAGTCGATCCTTGCACTTGGCTTGTAGCAAATTCCATGCGTCTTGGTGCCTTGTAGGTAGCGAAAGATACGCTTAACTGCAACCCAGTGTTCTTCTTCTTGGGGATTTTCCATGAACCGCGACACATAGCCCACAGCAAACGCAATGTCCGGACGCGTTGCAGTGGTCAGGTGCATCAACGCACCAACAGCTTCGCGAAAAGGAGCATCGACCTTGGTAGTTGCATCACTTGAAACAAGTCGAGAGCTCATGTCGACTGGACTTGCGACTGCCTTGCAATCATCCATGCCAAAGCGCTTGAGGATATCATCGACATACCGACGCTGACATAGTGTCACACTGCCATCTTCACCGTCCAAAAGCTCGATCCCAAGAACAAACGCACACTTGCCGCTGTCCGTCATTTCGAACCGCGTCTTCAGGTCGTTCTTGGTTTGTGCAATCAGCTCGAGCGAGCTTCCAGTCACCAAGACGTCGTCCACGTAGACCAGTATAAACACGCAATGGCCGTCCGATGTCGTGATGTAGAGACATGGGTCGAAGTCCGATACTTGAAATCCGATGGAGCACACATACTCGTCGAACGTCTCGTTCCACACTCGCGAAGCTTGCTTGAGGCCGTAAATTGACTTTACCAATTCCAGGCAGTCGAACGTACTGTCAAGTTCGAAGCCTTCAGGAATCACGCAGAACACTTGTTCCTTCATGACGCCATACAGGAAAGCTGTCACCACATCAAGCTGGTCGATGGGCCATCCAAAATGCTTGGAAATTGCGATCACCATTCGCAGCGTCACATACTTGACCACAGGCGAAAACGTCTCCGTGTAGTCGATGCCATGCTTTTGGCGGAAACCCTTGGCCACAAGTCGTGCCTTGTACTTCTCGATTGACCCATCCGCCTTGCGCTTGATCTTGAACACCCATTTTGTGCCCATGGCGCGTTGTCCGTTGGGCAGCTTGGCTGCACGAAACACACCGCGAAGTCGCATTGACTCGATCTCTGCATGAATTGCTTTTCTCCAGTGCACTTGGTCAGGGCCGCTTACTGCTGCTTCAAATGTTGAGGGCTCTGATAAGTCCACTGCTGCTTCAACGGCATTTGCACTCGCACGCCAAAACACAGGCGGTATTGAATCACCAGAATCCTTCGTTTCATCGTCTTCTTCTTGGCGTGACGAGTTGTTTTCCGGCGCGCTTGACTCTTCAAGTCCTGGTCGTTGACGCACTGCACGCGGTCGTGGAGCTGCTGTATCTTCATCATTGAGTCGGTTCTTGCGCTTGCCTGTTTGCTTGTACTCCATTTGACGCAGCTCTTCGTCATCAAGATCCAGCAATTCGAAGTCCAGGTCATCGACATCTTCATCAGTGATCGGCAGTTGAAGTCCAAAGGTGGACTCGTCGAAGTTGACATCGCGGCTGATAACCACCTGCCCAGCCTCGATGTCATAAACACGATACGCCTTCGAAACTTCTTCGTAGCCCACGAATATGCCAGCGCAAGCCTTTGGATCCCACTTGAGTCGATTCTCTTTAGGCGTCAGTATGTACGTCTGACATCCGAATGTTCGCATGTGCTTGACGCTTGGTTTCAAGTTGTAGACGATCTTGTTGTAAGTGCATGATGCACTGGATTCGACTCCAGAGATTCGACCCATGATAGGGTATGTCTAGAATGTTCTTTAGGGTTATATGCATTATTATAGGTCGTACGGCAGCTAGACGTATGGATAGTTCTCACTTGTAGATTGACAAACCACTGATAAGGCCCCCGGCGGGGGGCCGAAACGCGTCTGGTGCGCGGTAATATACAAGTCATTTACTTTACTTAACTCCTACTTCTTACAGGTTATGAGCCCAAGCACGATGTCCTCTGCTCATGATGCCACCACCAAGATCTTTATTGACAAGTTCGACGGCGACAACTACGCGACGTGGAGCCGCTACATGCGTGGCGTGTTCCTGACCAAGTCGGCGTGGCACGTGGTGAACCGGAGACCACCCCCACCTTCGCCGATCCTCGCGCCAGTGACGACTACTGTTGCATTGTAGATCGGAGCGAGGAAAGCGGAGCGAACGGAGCGGAGAGACCGAAGAGAGTAGAGCAGAAAACACTTGCCCAATAGTTGGAAGATTCGAAAGTGATTGATTATCGGGACTTACTACTTACTACATGATTTATATGTGGTGTACATATAAATCATGTGAAGCGTCTCATCATCCTACGCGTCTAATCAACTATGGTAATTACCGTAAGAACTACGTCGTAAATACTAGGCTGAACAGGCGGTTCGGATTGGATCGGTCACGGTTACCAACACTGGTAGAAAACCGATGACCGTCAATACGCCCCCTCAATCCGAATGCTCACGAATCCCGAGAGCCGTCGTCATCTCCTTGTGGCGTGGTACATGAAGTCCCTTCGTCATGATGTCCGCTAACATCACCGCAGTTTCACAATACTTGAGCTTCACTTCACCGTGCTTGACCTCATCACGGATGTGATGGTACTTGATATCAATGTGCTTGGCACGGCCGTGGTTGACCGGGTTCTTCGTCATCTTGATACATGACTGATTGTCTTCATGAATCATGAGTTCCGGTCCTTCTTCATTGGCAGCTATCACGATCTCACAAAGCAGACGATGAATCCACTTGCCCTCTTGAATCGCCAAGCTGAGTGCGATGTATTCAGCTTCAGTCGTGGACAACGAAACACTTGGCTGCTTCTTGCTGCCCCAACTTACTGGCGCACCGAGTAGCATGAACGTGTACCCCGATGTTGACTTGCGGTCGGTAAGATCACCAGCCCAATCCGCATCCGAATATCCACGGAAGTCGATCCTTGCACTTGGCTTGTAGCAAATTCCATGCGTCTTGGTGCCTTGTAGGTAGCGAAAGATACGCTTAACTGCAACCCAGTGTTCTTCTTGGGGATTTTCCATGAACCGCGACACATAGCCCACACCAAACGCAATGTCCGGACGCGTTGCAGTGGTCAGATGCATCAACGCACCAACAGCTTCGCGAAAAGGAGCATCGACCTTGGTAGTTGCATCACTTGGAAACAAGTCGAGAGCTCATGTCGACTGGACTTGCGACTGCCTTGCAATCATCCATGCCAAAGCGCTTGAGGATATCATCGACATACCGACGCTGACATAGTGTCACACTGCCATCTTCACCGTCCAAAAGCTCGATCCCAAGAACAAACGCACACTTGCCGCTGTCCGTCATTTCGAACCGCGTCTTCAGGTCGTGCTTGGTTTGTGCAACCAGCTCGAGCGAGCTTCCAGTCACCAAGACGTCGTCCACGTAGACCAGTATAAACACGCAATGGCCGTCCGATGTCGTGATGTAGAGACATGGGTCGAAGCCTGACACTTGAAATCCAATGGAACACACACTTGCCAAAAGTCTTGTTCCATACTCGCAAAGCTTGCTTCAGGCCGTAAATTGCCTTTACCAATTCCAGGCAGTCGAACGTACTGTCAAGTTCGAAGCCTTCAGGAATCACGCAGAACACTTGTTCCTTCATGACGCCATACAGGAAAGCTGTCACCACATCAAGCTGGTCGATGGGCCATCCAAAATGCTTGGAAATTGCGATCACCATTCGCAGCGTCACATACTTGACCACAGGCGAAAACGTCTCCGTGTAGTCGATGCCATGCTTTTGGCGGAAACCCTTGGCCACAAGTCGTGCCTTGTACTTCTCGATTGACCCATCCGCCTTGCGCTTGATCTTGAACACCCATTTTGTGCCCATGGCGCGTTGTCCGTTGGGCAGCTTGGCTGCACGAAACACACCGCGAAGTCGCATTGACTCGATCTCTGCATGAATTGCTTTTCTCCAGTGCACTTGGTCAGGGCCGCTTACTGCTGCTTCAAATGTTGAGGGCTCTGATAAGTCCACTGCTGCTTCAACGGCATTTGCACTCGCACGCCAAAACACAGGCGGTATTGAATCACCAGAATCCTTCGTTTCTTCGTCTTCTTCTTGGAGTGACGAGTTGTTTTCCGGCGCGCTTGACTCTTCTAGTCCTGGTCGTTGACGCACTGCACGCGGTCGTGGGGCTGCTGTATCTTCATCATTGAGTCGGTTCTTGCGCTTGCCTGTTTGCTTGTACTCCATTTGACGCAGCTCTTCGTCATCAAGATCCAGCAATTCGAAGTCCAGGTCATCGACATCTTCATCAGTGATCGGCAGTTGAAGTCCAAAGGTGGACTCGTCGAAGTTGACATCGCGGCTGATAACCACCGCCCCGCCTCGATGTCATAAACACGATACGCCTTCGAAACTTATTGAGGGTTACCGGTACAATCCGAACCTAGCGCGTAGTTCTTACGAGATAGTTTTTACATCGGTAATTACCTCAGAGATGATTAGACGCGTAGGATGATTGGACGCGTGTAAATCAGGTTGATTAGATGCACCATGTGATTGGATGCAGTCTAGGGTAGGCAGAAGTTAAGACCTATAAATCAATCACTTTCGAATCCTCCCTCAAGTGAGCAAGTGTTCTCTGCTTCGTTCTCTCCGGTCTCTCCGCTTCGTTTTCTCTTCGCCTCGCGCTCAATCAACAACAGGTTATGAGCCCAAGCGCCATGTCGTCCAACAACACCTCGGCCAGTGTCTCCATCGATAAGTTCGATGGGGACAACTACTCAACCTGGTGTCGCTACATGCGCGGCGTGTTTCTGACGAAGTCAGTCTGGTACGTCGTGAACCGCGAAACGTCTCCAACCTTCACCGACACGCGAGCTTCCGACGAGTACGTCAAGGCGAGCAACATCGCGTTCGGGTTGATGTTGCTCCACATGGACGCCGACTACCACCATGTGGTCGACAACTGTGAAGAAGCATGGACAGCGTGGTCGCGGTTGAAGATGCTCTATGGTGGGTCGCAGAAGGCGGGACGCATCTACCTCAAGCGCCAGCTGTTCAGCATCAAGATGGCGGAAGGTGCCAACGTCTTGCACCATTGCAACGAAGTCTTGAACATCGGCGCCAAGCTCAGCAGCATCGGTGCCAAGATGGAAGACGAAGACATTGCGATCTGCTTGCTGCTCAGTCTCCCGAAGAGTTTCGAGAACGTGGTTCTGAACTTGGAGATGAGCAATGCAGAGCTGCGCACGCAAGATGTGGTCAAGGTGCTGACTAACGAGCACATCAAGCGACAAGGCGAGAAGATGACAACGGCAACGACAACGGTGAAGACTGAAGATGCGACAAAGGCATTCAGTACCGAGCGCAAGCCCTACCAATGCACATACTGCGGCAAGGTGGGGCACACGGCAGAGCGTTGCTGGACGAAGCAAAAGGATGAAAGTCGAGGAGCCCAACGCGGCGGCAATGGTCGTGGACGCGGGGCAAACAATGTCCAGTGGCGACATTATGATGAAGGCAACAGCTACGATCGAGTGGCGTTTGCAGTTTCGTTCGAATGCGGAGTTTCGACGAACAAGAATGGACCAGGAATGTGGGCCGTTGACAGCGGGGCAACACATCACATCTGCCACGACAAGTTCAAGTTTGCAAGCTTGGTCGAAGGCAATGATGGCGAGATCCTGGTGGCTGATGGCAACAAGGCGGCCATCAAAGGTGTGGGGACCATCGTGGAAAAGGTGATTCTGCCAAACGGGGAAGAGCGCGAGATCGAGATCAAGAACGCGCTCTATGTGCCCAGCATGAGCAAAAATCTGCTCTCGGTGCCGCAGATTAACAAGCACGGCAACTTCCAAGTGGTGTTTGACGGGGATACGATGTACGTCGCTCGCAAGGATTCCAATCAAGTGGTGGCAGCTGCGGATCTTGTAGACGGACTCTACTGGCTTCGCACGACGCAGCGATCGGCCAATGCGACATCACTCAGCAACGCTGTTGATCTACATGCGCGAATGGGCCATGCTCCAGTCGACGTACTTCGCAGGATGGTGACAAGCCACATGATCAAGGACGCTCACATCCCTTCCAAGCCGAATGGATCAAGTGTGTGTCGAGGATGCCAAGAAGGGAAGATGGTCCAAAAACCATTCCCGAGCAACCGTGACAAGCGCACCTACAACACCTTCGAGATGCTCCACTTCGACATCTGCGGACCCATGGAAGAAAAATCTCTGGGTGGCAGCAAGTATCTGCTGCTGATCGTGGATGAAGCCAGCGGATGCATGAAGGGTTTTTGTCTGCATTCCAAGTCAGAGAGCGAAGAGTGCATCAAGAAGTACATCACGATGATACAGACGCAGTTCAACAAGAAAGTCAAATTTGTGCGACACGATGGAGCCCGCGAGTTTGCGACAAACTCGCTTCAAGATTTCTACGAAGTCGAAGGCATCGAGCAACAAACCACGGTGCCATACGCACATCAAGCCAATGGAACTGCTGAACGCGCGATTCGAACTATCGTCACCATCGGTCGTAGCATGCTCCATCATGCCAAGTTGGACAAGTGCTTCTGGGCTGAAGCGGCAATGACGGCCGTCTATGTGAAGAACCGTTTGCCGTCACCCAAGATTCCACACAAGACACCGTTCGAGATTGTCTACAATTCTAAGCCAAGTGTCAAGCACATGCGCGTTTTTGGGTGCCAAGCATACATCTTGACCCCGAAGGAGAAACGACTCAAGTGGGATCCCAAGGCCCGGGCTGGATTGTTTTTGGGCTACGAAGAAGTGTCCAAGGCGTATCGAGTTTATGACATCGAAGCGGGGCAGGTGATGATAAGTCGCGATGTCAACTTCGATGAGTCGGCCTTTGGAATGTCGATGCTGATTTCCGATGACGATGTTGATGGCCTGGACTTCGAATCGATCGATCTTGATGATGAAGAACCGCGTCCGAGACACTTCAAACAAACAGGAAAGCGCAAGGCCCAACCCAGTCACGACAATGACGACGCAAGCATGCCCCGAGCAGTGCGCCAACGACCCGGATTGGAAGAGTCAAGTGCGCCGGATGACATCTCTTCACGTCGAGCCAACGAAGATGAAGAAAGGAAGTCGGAGGAACAACATGACACACCGACTTCCTCCGCGTTTTGGCATGCGAGTGCAAACGCCGTCGAAGCAGCGGTCGATTTTTCGGAGCCGTCGACATTTGAAGAAGCAGTGTCTGGCCCGGACCAAGTACACTGGCGCAAGGCAATTGATGCGGAGCTCGATTCGATGAAGCTTCGCGGTGTCTTTCGTGCGGCCAAGTTACCCAACGGACAAAGCGCCATTGGCACAAAGTGGGTCTTCAAGATCAAGCGCAAGGCGGATGGGTCGATCGAGAAATACAAGGCACGACTTGTGGCCAAGGGTTTTCGCCAAAAGTATGGCATCGACTACACGGAGACGTTCTCGCCCGTGGTCAAGTATGTGACGCTGCGAATGGTCATCGCCATTACCAAGCACTTTGGATGGCCCCTCGACCAGCTCGATGTGGTGACTGCGTTCCTGTATGGAGTGATGAAGGAGAAGGTGTTCTGCGCTGTTCCGGAAGGCGTCAAGATGGAAGGTGATTTTGACTGTCTCGAGCTGATCAAGGCGATCTACGGTCTCAAGCAAGCCTCGCGTGTTTGGAACGAGACCTTCGACGAGTTCATACGCTCGATTGGTTTTCAAGCGTCGGGATTCGATCCATGTCTCTACATCATGACTTCGGAAGGCCATTGTGTTTTTGTGCTGGTCTACGTGGACGATGTCTTGGTGACTGGAAGCTCGCTCGAGATGATTGCGCGCACCAAGAACGACCTCAAGACACGCTTCGAGATGACGGACAGCGGCAAGTGTGCCTTTGTTCTTGGGATCGAGTTATTGGACGGTGAAGATGGCAGCGTGACTATGTGTCAGCGCCGTTATGTCGACGATGTCCTCAAGCGCTTTGGAATGGATGAGTGCAAGGCTGTGGCAAGTCCGGTGGACGTCAGCTCTCGACTGGTTCCGAGCAACTCTGCAAGCAAGGTGGATGTCCCATTCCGTGAAGCAGTGGGTGCTTTGATGCATCTGACGACTGCAACGCGACCGGACATCGCCTATGCTGTAAGCTTTGTGTCACGGTTCATGGAGAAACCCCAAGAAGAACACTGGGTTGCAGTCAAGCGCATCTTCCGCTACCTACAAGGCACCAAGATGCATGGAATCTGCTACAAGCCAAGTGCGAAGATCGACTTTCGTGGCTATTCAGATGCAGACTGGGCCGGTGACCTTGCTGATCGCAAATCGACGTCCGGCTACGTCTTCATGCTATTGGGTGCTCCGGTGAGTTGGGGCAGCAAGAAACAGCCAAGTGTGTCACTGTCTACAAGCGAAGCGGAGTACATCGCGCTCAGCCTGGCGATCCAAGAAGGCAAGTGGATCAATCGCTTGCTGTGCGAGATCATGGCGGCTGCAAACGAAGAAGGACCCGAGCTCGTCATCCGTGAAGACAACCAGTCGTGCATCAAGATGACGAAGAATCCGGTCAACCACGGCCGCGCTAAACACATCGACATCAAGTACCATCACATCCGTGATGAAGTCAAGCGCGGCGAAGTGAAGCTTGAATACTGCGAGACGACGTTGATGTTGGCGGACATCATGACGAAGGGACTTCACGGACCGCGTCACAAGGACTTGACGGCGGCGCTTGGCATCCGTGCGTGTTCGGATTGAGGGGGCGTATTGAGGGTTACCGGTACAATCCGAACCTAGCGCGTAGTTCTTACGAGATAGTTTTTACATCGGTAATTACCTCAGAGATGATTAGACGCGTAGGATGATTGGACGCGTGTAAATCAGGTTGATTAGATGCACCATGTGATTGGATGCAGTCTAGGGTAGGCAGAAGTTAAGACCTATAAATCAATCACTTTCGAATCCTCCCTCAAGTGAGCAAGTGTTCTCTGCTTCGTTCTCTCCGGTCTCTCCGCTTCGTTTTCTCTTCGCCTCGCGCTCAAGTCAACAACAGGTTATGAGCCCAAGCGCCATGTCGTCCAACAACACCTCGGCCAGTGTCTCCATCGATAAGTTCGATGGGGACAACTACTCAACCTGGTGTCGCTACATGCGCGGCGTGTTTCTGACGAAGTCAGTCTGGTACGTCGTGAACCGCGAAACGTCTCCAACCTTCACCGACACGCGAGCTTCCGACGAGTACGTCAAGGCGAGCAA